AAACTCTATGGAAAAAAATCTGCGGAAAATCTCAAGTATTGGTATGCCACTAAAATGCCATTAAAACCTAGTAAGAAAATAAGAAGAAAATGATATGACATGTATGGATTATCGTCTCATTGTAAACTTCAATGGAAAGACCATGGAAAGAAAAATTCATAAGGAAATCTACAAAACAATAGTATGATAAAACTGGTATAACCTCTCCCAAACTTCATGGAAAAAATATGAGGCATATGTATTTGATACGTTCTCAAAACCAAGATATGACATAATATGCTTTGAATATCTCCTTTAAAACCCTCACTGAGGAAATAGGAGCTATGGCATATATGCTTGTATTGATATTGCCTCATTAAAAACCTTTTAAGAGGAATCTTTGTGAGAAAAAACTCAGAAAAAAGAGTACAATATAATATTTGAACAGGTTATTATCTAGGACATGACTCCCATGAACCTTGCAATTTGAAAGTTCACTGCATACCATTTTCACGAAATATAAATCTAAGCAAGGACTTAGGGGTCGTTTGGATAGGAGGAATGTCACGATCTGCATCCCAATAAAACTTTTGCCAAAAACCATGTTTTTTTAACGAGAATTAACTCTGCTTTTAAGAAAGCACAACGTAACAAGGTTTGCTGGGGTTACCAGCCACAGTACAATCCCAGGCAGGATAGAACGAAGCATTCAGCTATTACAAAAGGCTAAAAGAGAAAAGAACTAAGCCAACTAGATCTCAAAGACATCAGTTGCTGTTGTAGCCTTGGGCTTAAAGTTCTTCAGCCATCTCAGAATCGCTTCCAGTGCTTGCGACACACGCTCCTTGTCTTTCTCCTTCAGAAGGACGCTCCATCTCTGCAACAATGATACCGCCACATATATCACATCAGTTGGTGCCTTAACAAACGATTTTTCAATTGCCATCTTATTTCTCGCGGTCCACAAGGCCCACTCAAATCCAGCAAAGAAAAACATGACCAACCGATTCGGTAGCGGCCCCTTGCCCTGCAGCCATATAATAGACAGGTCCTCAAGAGACCTAGGACAAAATCTAGCTCAAAAATATTTTGCAACAGGCCCCAAACTAGTTTAGCCAAGTGACATTTGAAGAAAAGATGGTTAACAGTTTCAACAGTCACATAAGCAACAACACATGTTACCTTTCCATCCCCTCTTAACCAGGTTTCCCGCTACCTGGAGCTTGTTATGGAACATTTGCCAAAGAAAGAACTTGATTTTCAACGGAATTTTGCATTTCCAGATCAGACCAGCCACTCTACTTGGCATGCCCCAATCAGTCAAAAATCTATATAGTGATTTGGTAGAAAAATGTCCTTTTGGCTCTAAAGCCCAGGAAACAATATCCGCTGCATCACTCTCAGGATTACATCCTTTCAGAGTTAGTCAGATCAATCCAGCTATTGTACTCTTGGACAGTTAAAGATCTTCTGAAATCCATAACCCATTCATCCTCCTCCCAGCACTCAGAAACCGAACAGTGAGGATTTCTCACCATTCTAAAGAGATTTTCATGACTAATACCTAATGGAACCTCTTTGGCCCAGCAGTCTTCCCAAAATTTGCAATGATCTCCATTTCTCACTTTGAACACAGCACCCCATTTAAAAAGATGCTTCACTTTATGGAGGCCTTGCCAAAATTGAGACACTCCCTTTGTCTTAGACTCAAAGAACCCCCCTCACCCATATATTTTGCTTTAAGAATCTTAAACCAAAGTTCATCAGGCTCCTGGAAAATCTTCCAAATCCACTTGACCATTAAGCAGTCATTCATAATTCTAGTGTTTATGATCCCTAGGCCCCCTTGGTCTTTTGGTCTGCATACCATTTCCCATTTGGCCATGTGGTATTTAAACTTGTCCTCAGCCCCCTGCCAAAGAAAATGGGCCCTAATGGTATCCATTCTCTTGTGAACCCCATCAGCCAACCAGTAAAAACCCACACAATACAAAGGTAGGCTGCTCAAACAGGAATTGGTTAAGATTTGTTTCCCACCCGAAGTTAAGAATTTCCCTTTCCATGGGTCAAGTTTAGTTATCATTTTCTAAGGCAAAAAGCTAAAAGCCCCCATGGCTAAATGATGGTCACTAATTGGAATCCCCAAATATTTCAAAGGTAGATCACCCAGGACACAATTAAGCATATTAGCCCGTTCTTCCTTCTCTACCTGTGAAACTCCAAAGCCATACACCCCATGGCTAAATGAAGGTAGTTTATTTTTAATCCAGTCAGCCATTCAAAGCAATATAAAATCAGTTTCAGGTTAGTTATTGAAGTTGCAGATCCATCTATCATGATCAAAGTTCAGCTAGGCGCTAGGCGGAATCTAGGCGCTGACCCTCAGCCTAGCGCCTAGGCGGGATTAATCGCGCCTAGGCGTTCCTAGGCATTTTCCAATACATGCTTAAATTTATTAATACATACTTAAGTACTTAAAAGAAAAGAAAAAATAGAAGACCAATGGTCATGGAACAGGGAGAAAAGAGAAGAAAGGCCCATAAAAACGGCCCAACCCACCTTGTCCACCGTTAAAAACGGCCCAGCACACCTTATCCACGCCTCCTCCCACACCCGCCCAAGGCCATCACCACCCGGCGAAGCCGCCACCCAAGCGCCACACATGAAGCTTGCCACAAGCCAGCAAGCCTGCCGCCACAAGACGCATCCACACCAGCGCGCCACACGCCTTCGCCACCACAAGCCAGCTCACATGCAGCGCCTTCCCTTCTGCAGCTCCTCCTCCCCCACCGACGACCTCCGCCAGGCGCTCCTCCACCACCACCGCCGCCGCCGACGAGCCGCCGCCGCCTAGGGGTCCGCCTACCCCCATAGGCGAGGCGGACACCCTCCGACTAGAGCCTAGTCGCGCCTAGTCGCGCCTAGGCGAGCGCCTAGCGGAACTATGACATGATCACTGTGTCATCAGCGTACTGAATATGTGTAATACCCCCAGGTAAAAGATCTTCAAGAACCCCTTTAATACGTCCTTTTTTAGAAGCTTTATCAAGGAGCACCCCTAGAGCATCAGCTACTAGATTGAACAGAAGTGGAGAAAGAGGGTCTCCTTGCCTTAAACCTCTAAATGTATTAAAGTAGGGACTCCTTTCCCCCATTGACATTGATACACAGCTTTCCCTCTCACTGTTTCCATCACCCAAGAGATCCAAGTCACAAGGAAACTTTTTCCTATCATGACTTGTTCTAAAAAGCTCCACCTAACCCTGTCATATGCCTTTTCAAAATCTAATTTCAGAATAAGCCCCTTTTTCTTAGAAGATTTCAGTTCATGTATAACTTCATGCAAAACCACAGCCCCCTCCAAGATGTTCCACCCCTTAATGAAACCAGTTTGGTTCTTACTAATAGTCTTCTTAGCCACTGGACCTAGCCTGTTGGTAAGGACCTTAGTAAAACATTTGAAGTCTACATTCAACAAGCAGATGGGCCTAAAATGTTTGATGTTGTTTGCTTCTTTAAGTTTACGTACCAATGTAATCACCCCATAGTTCAACCTTTTAATATCAAGCTTGTCATTGTAAAAGTCTGTGAACATACTCTTCAACTCCTCCTTAATATATTCCCAAAATTTCTTAAAAAACACTACCCCATAGCCATTGGGACCAGGGGCTGAGTTTTCTTTCATCCCCATCACTACCTCCTTAATCTCCTCCATGGAGAATGGTTTGACTAAATCCAGGCTATCTGACTCAGTCAACTGTAACTCAGCAGGCCAAAATTCAGAATTCAGAGACATGCTACAGGGCTCATTACGCCCAAAGAGACTCTTGTAGTAGTCCACAATGTGTGAAGAGATAGCATTTTGGCCCCTAATTTCCTCATTACCATTTTCAAGAAAGGTAATTGTTTTCTTTCTCCTCCCATTAACAAACTGGTAGAAAAACTGGGTATTTGCATCCCCTTGCAAGATCCAGTTAGTTCCCACTTTTTGTTTCCACTGAAGCTCCTCAATTAAATTCATTTTATCCAAGGTCTCTTCTAGGTTAATTCTTTCTTCCCACTCAGAGTTACTTAACAATCTTTTTTCAGCAATTATGTCAATTTCTTCAATTCTAGTGGCAATATTTTTCTTGGTATCTTTGTTTTCACTAGAAATTCTTAGACTCCACCCTCTCAAGTAATGTCTTAAGGATTGTAAGCACCCATGCCACACATCTAGAGAATAAGGAGTATTAACAGAACCACACTTAAATTCCCCTCACTTAGTTTTCAAGAGATCATAAAAACCCTCATGATGTATCCATTTTTCCTCAAAAAAGAAATATTTAGGTCTGGAGGCTCCTTGCTCTCCAGTATCTATGATGAGTAGTGAATGGTCAGAGCCAACTCTAGCTTTAGACCAAGCAAAACTGTGAGAATAGTTCAAGTCCCAGCTAGTAGTGGCGAGAATACAATCTAGTTTCACCAATGTGGGGTTTTTCTGTTTGTTAGACCAAGTAAACTTAACCCCACTAACAAAAATTTCCCTAAGGTGAAAAGACCCAATGAAATTATTAAAGAGTAACATCAGTTTAAGATCCCCTTGACCCTGATTTCGATCCTTGTTACTTCTAATGAGATTAAAATCCCCTCCTAACACCATAGGGAGTGCTTCACTAGTGCAAAAGTTCGATAATTCCAAAATAAACTCCTCAGACAACTCATGTTGGGCAGGCCCATACACGTTTAGGACCCAGAATCTAAAATTAGTTAGCCTATTCCTTACCAAACAACCCAAAAAATAACCAGCCAACTCAACTTGCTCTATTTCAAAACTCTCCAACTTCACCCCTAACAGTAACCCTCCTGAGTGACCTTTTGCTGGAATCCATTTCCAAACAAAATCCACAATACCAGACATATCTTTGAACTCTTGATCACTAAACTCTTGCTTAATAGTCTTTTGAATACCCACAATATCTAGGTTTTCCTGAATGACATGTTTGAGAACTAACCCACTTCTATGAGCTGTCCCCAAACCCCTAACATTCCAAAACATGCACCTCATTGTTTTCACTAGAGGAGGTGATTTCAATATAAGCACTCTGGGCATTACTATCAAGGCCTCCCTTAGCTTGATCAGAAATGACACCTCTCCCTCGATTATCAATAGCCTCCATGGCTAAATCTTCTAACTGTGAATCAGATAAAGGCCCCTGCCTCTCTTTCTGTTTTTCTAAAAAGGCTTTGTAATTTGCTTTAGCAATAGCTGCCCTAGCAAGCTTCTCCGCCCTAAAGATATCAATTTGTTCCTCAACATTTTCTACCTCAATGTCTAAATCTATAATAACCTTCTCTAAGGAAGCAGTAGAAGCGTTGTTAAGAACAGTAAAAGGATTTGTTGTGGTAATAGTACCTGTTATAGTGTTCTTGGCTTTGGCTCTGTTAGCAGCCTTTGTAGCAATAAGTATGCCATCCCTTGGCACCCGACTGCTTGTTCTGGTAGCTACCATCACCTGTCGCATGTTCTTCTTCTTAGACTTCCTGGATTTTGGAGACTGCCACCCTTGACAGTCGGTCTCCATATCTGAATTCTTGCTTTGATCAGAAATATAATCCATGAAATCCTCCTCTTCAAGCTGTTTATCAGAGTTCCTGATGCCCTCTTTCACCAACTCTGTCTTGTGAATGTCTCCCTCAGCAGCTTCCTTCCCTAAAGATAGATTGTCACTGTTTTCCAGTTGGACAGTCACATTATCCTCCTGGGTGAGCTCCCCTAGCCCATCCTGTTCTTGTGACTGATATTCTGTAGCCAGAAGCATTTTGGGTCAGTTCTTGTCCATCAGGAAAGGACCATCTGCCCCATATGCACGACAAACTGATTCTCACTTCCAAGGATCTCCTTCTCCATATCAGTATGGATCTCACCCCCTTTGTTGTTTACAGACCCCACATCTACCCTAATCGAGTTCACCTCGGCACCCTCACTAGTCAAGTGGTCATCATTGTTCAAGGATATATCTTGGATGTCCTGGATTACCACAACAGGGCTTCTATTCATGGAAATATGTCCCAATTCAGGATGAGAAGCTGCTAGAGGAGTAACCATAGCTTCCTTGCCAAGCAGTTCTCCATCGAATCATCTTGGTTAGAATCCATGTCCCTATCAATCTTGCCAAATCTCTAGAATTTATCAATTCCTCTCTTCCTATCCCCTTGTTGGTGATTATCCTGATCTTTGTCTGCCGCCATAGGTTTCCTAGCCCCTGGACCAGGAGGACCACCTTTGCCACCCTTGACTGGACCCTTGTGCTACTTCAAAACCAATAGGAATACCTGAGCCATTGAAAAATACCTCAATAGAGCCCTTAATCAGAGAAGGATTCCTGCATCTCCCCTGTACCCTCACAGGACCAGCTTTGATCAAACTAACCTCATCGACTATAATCGGTTCAATCACCAGATAAGCAATTTCCCTAACAGTTTCTATGTCTTTTGTAGTCCTAGGATGATTGGATATCTTCACCCAAACTATATGTAGCACTAATGAAGACTCAGGATCAAAATTGGCAACATCAATTTTGCCCTTTAGTCCATAGAGGGGCATCTCAAACTCTGACAGTTTGGCAAAGATCACTAATGTGCTCTTGTCAGGAAACACGACCATGTATTCCTTTTTATCTGTCTTCTTCACCCTGAAATCCCAGTCTCTCCTGACAAGGTTCTTCAATTCCTTAGCTATTTTATCTTCTGAAGCCTCACCTTCTAACATAGTTATAAAACCAGTAGCCTGAGTCACTTTGATTCTTGCCTCTGGGATGTCAATGGCGTAGAAGCCTTGGCTAGGGATACCGAATACACATATTTTGAGCTTCTTGCTGATTCTGCAATCAACTACCATATGCCCCTTTTGCTTGCATTTATAGCATCCAGGTTCTTTATCATATTCAGATTGATGATGCCCTAGGTTTCACAGCCGCTGCAAAGGTTTTGGTAAGCCTGCAGGGTGGTTGGGTGGCTCGAATCTTGCGGGCTAAGTGTCCAAATCAGCGTACCTCCTCCTTGTTGGCTAGGTAGGTAATATCCAAACAGAGACGCCCTTTTGGTATCCAGAACTAGCCCAGCCCAGGTCCACTCGGGATCCAGGAATGGTCAAAGCGGGAATCAACCGAATTCTGGATTGGGTTGTCATCTTCCTCGCTTCCGTTCCAAGCAACTAACTACTTGTCAGGTTCAACCATGTTGGATCCAAGCTTCAGCATGCTCTCCATAGATTCCTCCAGACGGTCAGAAGCATCAGCCAAATCTCTCATCTCAGAAATCCATTTCTGATCAGAGAACATCTGACATTTGATTTCATTTTCGATCTACAATCGCAACTTCTCCTGACCTCCACGCGTCGTCGGATGATATCCAGATGCATCAACGTACCATTCACTAAATTTTTGAGGAATCAAAGTCAAACGCCCCTAGGCACCCTTACCCGCTGAATACCCTCTTCAATGGAAGGGCAATCATCAGATTGCAGAGCCATTTCAGGATTTTCAGACGAACTCTTCTCCATGAACACCACTCAACTTCCCTCCCGATCCCTCCCCACCCTTCGGAATTGTGGTTGATGAGTACGTACCTAGATTGGCCTTACGCTACGCATCCCATCGGTGGAGAAGCTCCGCCAACTCAGCGTTCGTCGGAGTAAAGCCTGACGCCGCCTCTTGCCCGGTCGAGGCAGAGCCTGACGCCGCCTCAGCTCGCCCTTCTGGTGAGTTCCGAGAGCCGCAAGAGGACACCCTCGAAGGGGAGTAGTAGCCGGACACAGATCCGGTGCAGTTGCTACTGCTACTGCAAGATAAGCAGTGGGTGCACCTGAGCCATCCACACGTGAAGGAACGGCTTAGATGAGAGCTCTTCTTCTCCCTGTTTTTTCTGTATCATTTTATTTTCTATCAGCCTCTGCTATCAGTCGGTTCTTGACTAAAAAATTAGAGATCAGAAAAGAGAAGGCATAAATATTACAATAATGCAATTAAGACAGGATAGCCCGTTAACAGTATCTCCTTTTATTAAAAAAGCCCGTTAACAGTATAATAACATACTCCTCCACGTCCTTAAAGAAAATCGTTTTAGACATCGATACAGTCTTAAAAGTAACTTTGACTGCTACTTTTTGTTATAAAATATTTATAAAATATTGTCAATCTATACTTTTATAAAATTATATTTCGAGATGAATCTACTTACATCATTTTTATATTTTTACACTCGAACCAAAAGTATTTATTTGTAGTCAAAGTTTAAAATGTTTGACTTAAGACAATGTCAAAACGACTTTCTTTAGAACATGGAGGGAGTAGTAGATTGATATATTTTACTCTGGAGTGTGAATTAATGTCCTTTAATTACATTTACAAAGGAGGGAGCATATGGGGAACACAAAAGAGCAAATAATAAGCTGAGATCCTTTTGCATGTATCAAGGTTCACTGTTACTATTTTAAGAGCAAGGGTAATAATACAGCCGACTGTTGGCTATACGAAACTTACAACCAATCTATCAGCCTACTCGTATAATAGTTAGCCGGCTTACAGCCCACTTGTCTGTCTCACAGAACTTCTTGGTTCCTGTGCATAAACTGACTGTAAGCTTACAGCCTGCTTCTCTTCTCTCTCCTCCATGGCAACATACAGCCTGCTTACAGGCCCTTATAATACTTGCTCTAATATACAGAAACTTGCATCCCCCAATTGCTGATTTACATTGACAAAAGAGCATATGCTCGACACAAGAGAGCATATGGTTAAACTAAGATCATTTTGCTTATACCAAGGTTGTGCACTTCTGCGCCTCATTAATGTACAAAACTTACATCAGACATTAGCAGACTTTATCATACCTCCAAAATGCAGCCTTTGAACATAAACAAATTAGAGATAATGATTTTTCAAATTACTGCAACATGTGCAATTAACCTATACTTACATAACATATTCTCTAAAAGTGCCGGCCATCTATCCCATGATTAAAACTACAACATGTACAATTAGCCAGAGGAAGGAATATTTTGCAAAGGTTTTTGTACCGAAGTGCGTCGCTTCGCTCGTCTCAGCCATAAAATGGCGCCAAACACTTCTTTGCTGCTGCCATTTGCCTCAAAAGGGCTGTTGGTAGAATAAAGTCAAGAGAAAAGAAGGAAAAAGGAGGGCTCTCATCCAAGCCGTTCATTCTCCTATGGATGGCTTAGGTGCAGCCACTGCTTATCTTGCAGTAGTAGTAACAACTGCACACGATCTGTATCCGCCTCCTCCTGGCTTGCCCGCTGACTTGCTCGCCGGGGAGATCGTCGGATAAGTTGCGTCGAACGACGGTGTCGCCCTATCGCCCCGCAGAGAGACGCCCTGTCGCGTCATTTCTGCCTCCGTCTTTTTTTATTAGCTCTATATCAATCAGCCCAAACCGGTCATTTTTTTTTTGCCAAAAAGTATAATATTGAATAAATCAAATAAAACTTTATGCTACGTAACATTAAGCGTTATACGGTTTAATACCATACAGGATTTTGACTGGACGTTGACTCAGCTTATATGGTTGCAAAATTTTCATCTTAATTGAGAAGCTGAGAAAAGGACATAGGCGTGCCACACACATACGCGTGCATCGCCGTCGTCAGCGAGGCAGGCGGGCGGGCGGCGGGCGGGCATGACCAGTATTTTGCCACGTAATCCACATAATTACGGGAGTTTTCTCTCCTTTACGGTGGAGGCGAGGTGATTGCGCCATTTCTGTTTCCCTATCTCTTCGTGTCTCCGTCTCCTGGATTCCTCCGCTGGCTCTCTTTCTCCCCATCGTAGGCATAAAACAGAGCGTCTTTCTCCCTATCGTAGGCATAAAACAGAACGTCCTCTGTCAATCCTTCTTTCTTCCGCAACCGCTCCCAAAAGAAACCACATTTCAGCAGCCCTCTGGCTTCCCCGTTCCGTACCTCTACGCGCACGAAGTAGCGGAGGTGCCTCCGGAACCCTCGTCCGCCTAAGAACCTTGCACAGGGTGAGTAGCGATTAGGTTTTTGGAGAGCGATTCGCGACTGCTCGTCCACGTACGTCTTCTTCCTAGTGATCGCTCTCGGAACCCGTCTTCTTCCCGGTGATTGCTTGCGGAACAGCAAGTCGTCTTCTTTCTGGTGACCGTTCGTGGGACTGCACTATGAATATCTTCCTGCATCGACTGCGGGCCACGACTTCGAGCAACACACTATGTCGACGAGTGTGAATGGAGCCTTCGATGCCCTCGGCATGGGACTCTCCGCTGGGTACATTCTTATCTTTGTAATTACCGCATTTTGCGTTCTTACTGTATCGATCTGTATGTCATATCTGCATGCTGTAGCATTCGTTAGTGATATACACATGCACATATATGTCGTCACAAACCTGCTGATGTTATATTTCTGGATTAAATTGACCATGAAAATGCCTAATTATCTAACAATCCAAAAACCTAATCTTAGCTAATTTTCTGTCAGTGGTTTTGCTGCTGCTTTGAAGCCAAATAATTTTAATGGCAAGAATTTCATGATATGGCGTGCCAAGATGGTATTGTGGTTGACTGCGATGAACTGCTATCACGCCGCACAGGGAAAGCCTGAACAGTTTACTCCTGAGGAGGAGCAAAAGTTCTTGGCTGCCAATAACCTATTTCGAAGCGCCGTGATTAGTGCACTTCATCCTAAGTATGAGAAAAACTACATATCTTACACATCAGGCAAAGAGTTATGGGATGCTCTTGAGGCAAAGTTTGCAGTTTCTGATGCTGGTAGTGAGCTGTACCTTATGGAGCAGCTGTATGACTACAAAATGGTTGAAAACCGTTCTGTAGTCGAACAGGCTCATGAGATACAGGCGCTAGCAAATGAACTAGAATATTTCCCATGTTTGTTGCCCAACAAGTTTGTGATCGGCGGTATAATCACTAAGCTACCACCTTTTTGGAGGGATTTTGCTACTTCTCTAAAACACAAGACACAAGAGTTTAGCGTGGCTAAACTTATTGGATCTCTTGATGTTGAGGAGAGGACGAGAGCAAAAGACAACCGTGGAAAAGGAGTTGAGTCTTCCGCTGCCAATATGGTGCAGAAGAAAAACTTATTTGCATCCCGTAATAAAAAGAAGAAGAACATGCAATAGAACAACAATACAAAGCCTAGGCAAATTGCACAGTTTAAGAAGAAAAACAACAAGAAAGGTGGATGTTGCTTTGTTTGTGGGAGTGATGAGCATTGGGCAAGTACGTGCCTAGACCGCAAATATAAGCAAGAAAAGAAATCAACAAACGTGGTGATTAGCGAGACTGGAGAAGGAGCATCTGGGTATGGTAATTCTTTACCTTTTGTTTTTTCAGTTTGTCTTTCACCTGAGTGGTGGATGGACAGCGGTGCTAATATTCATGTGTGTGCTGATATTTCTTTGTTTACTTCCTATCAGGCCAACAGGATTGGAGCCTTACTGATGGAAAACGGTTCGCATGCGCGTGTTCTTGGTGCTGGTACGGTCGTTTTGAAGTTTACTTCGGGAAAGATGGTGCTATTAAAGAACATGCAACATGTCCCCTCCATCAAGAAGAATCTTGTTAGCGGTTCTCAGATGTGTCGTGATGGCTTTAAAATTGTGCTTGAGTTCAATAAGTGTGTTGTGTCGAGACATGGAATATTTGTTGGAAAGGTTATGATTGTGGAGGCTTGTTCCACTTATCTTTGCTTGATGATGTGTGTAATAAAGTAGTGAACAATGTTAATGTTTTGGATGAGTCGAATATATGGCATTCACAACTTTGTCACATTAATTTTGGCTGTCTCACGCGGCTTGCAAATCTGAATTTAATCCTGAAACTTAACTTAGTCAAAGATTCTAAGTGCCAGGTGTGTGTGCAATCGCAGCAACCGCGCAAGCCTCACAAGGCTGCTGAGGCGAGAAACTTGGCACCATTAGAATTCGTTCATTCTGATTTATGTGAAATGAATGGCGAATTGACTAAAGGCAGTAGACGATACTTCATGACATTTATAGATGATTATACTAGATTTTGCTACGTGTATTTATTGAAAACTAAAGATGAAGCATTGCATTATTTTAAAGTCTATAAAGCTGAGGTTGAAAATCAACTTGAGAAGAAAATCAAGCGTTTGCGGTCTAATCGCGGGGGAGAATATTTCTCAAATGAATTTTCTAAGTTTTGCGCGGTGCATGGAATTATTCATGAGAGGACGCCACCATACTCACCACAGTCCAATGGGATTGCAGAGAGAAAAAACCGCACTCTAACTGATTTGGTTAATGCCATGTTAGAGACTGCGGGACTATCTAAGGGATGGTGGGGTGATGCTATATTGACAGCATGTCATGTCCTGAATAGAGTGCCCACAAAGAACAAAAAAATTACACCATTCAAAGAATGGGAGAAGAAGAGATTAAATCTCTCTTACCTGCGAACTTGGGGTTGTTTGGCAAAGGTGAATGTGCCAATAAACAAAAAGTGAAAGCT